GTTAGTTTAAGGTACTGTGCCTTAACTCCAATCGTGCTTAAACTGATAGCGTTTAATGTGAGACTATTCTCATTCTAACGGAATTTACTGCAGTTATCACAAGAACACTGAGAGTCAAATCCCAACAGATTCTACAATTTGTGCAACTTAACTGTACAATGATGTGTGTGGCAGGATTTCTTCGCTGCCAGTACACAAATAAACACTATGAACAACAGGGTTTCTTCGCTGTTGTTATGCAAATTTCACTTGATCAAGGTTTTAAAAGGTCACATTTACATTTCAATCAGTCTACTGGCTCACAGTGTTCTGATCCAATCTGCATTAGGCACGCATTAGATAGCTACTCTGATGGTTAAACCTAAGGGAGTGCGATTGTAGTTGAATGAAATTGGAATACGCAATGACTTCAATCTAGGATACAATCAAATAAGGCCTTTAAAAGATGATAAGAGGAGCATCGCTCAAATCTATCTTTATCGCAATGCAGGAAGATTTCTTCGTTCCAACAGGCGATTTTGATAATATTAAAATTATTCAATAAAGAGATTTCTTCATCTTTAGAGAACAATTTCACTATTATGAACTGCAGTTTACTTTAACAATTAACAGTGACTAAATGTTAGACAAATAGAGGCTGTTAAAATACAGTACTGGAGGTGGCTTTTAACCATCCAATCCAAAAGAGTGAGTTCGCGCTGCGACTTGTCTCACTCTAAGCGCGCATAATATAAAAAACACAAATAAATTGATACTGTTTGCTCACAAACCAAGTTTGAATGTGCCCGCGTTCCTCCAGCAAAACTGTAGTAAATCAGCTCAAAAGGGAAATATTTATGACTAATTATAACTGGTTATGATTAATAATAAATATTTAGATTATATCTTTGAATTAACTGTAGCAGAATCCATATTACAATTATTTGATCTGTCCGTCCACCGAGCAGACAATATAATCATTTTTCAATTCAAGGAAAGATTATTTTCCTGGCAAGGGAAGAATAATTTTTCCTTCTTTATACAGTGCTAGCAGTAATTTGTAAGCGGTTACTTGCATTGGTTTTGATTGCTGAACAAGAGTCTTGATGCGGTAGACAACGGAGGTCTTTGATGAGTTCGTTAGGAGTGAGCTGGAAGTTTTACTTCTGGTTCTTCTGAAGAAGGAAAAGTCCACAGCGACTAAAGTTACTTGAAGATAAAAACTGTCAGAAAATAAAAACTCAAGAGGAAGATCTTGAGAGTCTTGGAAAAGTGTTGTCTCAAACGAAGAGGGTTTCTGAGCAAAGATTATTTCGGGCTAATCACTTTTGATGGTTCCTATTCTGGGTGGACTGGCCAATACCAGGCGTGAATTTTTGAGCGGGAGAAGTTTCCTTTGTTTCCCTTTATGGACCATTTGCATGTTTTATGGCCGGTCTAGAATTTCTGCAGTTTTAACCCAAAATATAGTACAAATCGTATGATGCATTTCACAATCACATACTGTACATCATTGTTTGAGGAATAAAGAGCAGATAATATTGGTACCAAGAAAGAGTCCTTTAGAATCGATTAAACCAAAGATACATCCATACACCTGAATATCAGTGTTTAGGGCTTTAACTAATACAAATAACGAGTGGTAACTCAGCTAATCTAATAGGGAAACGTACAAACAACACATGCAATATACCAGATATATTTGTAGAGTATAATAGAGTAAAAGGTCTTTACGTGTGTGTGTTTGTGTGTGTGTGTGTTAGTTTGCTTGGTCAGCCAGGCCCATTGTGCCTGGCCCCGGGGGTCATTTACGTCTCTTTGGAATGTGTTTGAAACTCCAAAGGGAAAACGAGAGTGGTGAAACTGTTTAGCATCTCCTTGATAGTGGGGGGGAACCATTTGACATTTAGCACCCATTTAAGTGTAACGTCTGTGACCAGGACTGTAATTTATATGCAAATGTCAAAAGCTAAAAGGGTCTCTTAAGCCATAAAACCCAAAGATCATGCATGATTCTACGCAGACGCTACAATTTCTCATGCTTTGGTCAGGATGTAACCCCCCATCTGTCTAAATAAGTATTAAAGCATTTAACTTGTCTCACATTGTTTGGTTAGGGGACATGAATGACAGCTTAATATAAAGACAGAAGTAAAAACTATAGTTTTAGTCCAATAAAGAACAGAAAATAAAAGCTTCTAACATGAAATAAAAAGTAAAAGGACAGGCAAACCTTGTGATTGGAGATGAGGTTCATCCAGGTTTCTTGCATTTATTTGCAATACTAATGTCTGAAATTAAATAGTGCCTTGGAGAAGTGAGGTTGATTCCATTACAGTTCAATTTGTGAAGCAAATTCAATAAAAACCCATGTAATGTCAGCACATTCAGGAATCCTGTTGATGTGAAAGCAGAACTGACTATGTGTAACCATGTAAGTCCTAATGTAGGTCACCAGAGGCGTCTGCCAGCCAGATGCCCGCTGTATGCAGGACTTTGGAAGCGTGAAATGGAAAGAAATGCTTCTTCAACTGTAGTGACCTGTGCAGGGACGGATTAACGCACGGGCCTACCGGGCATGTGCCCAGGGCACTAGACCAGAGGGGGGCCCTGCCGAAATACCACTCTTCCCAGAAAGCGATTTCAACCGTGGGGGACGCCTCTGTCATGCCCATTCAGACGGAGATTGTTGAGCCAATTGGATTTTAAATACAGCTTCCAAAAAGACAAAAAAATAGCTGAATAATGTTTTTTTTATATTTGAAACGATCACGCCGGTGTGATTAGAACTTTCAGTGCAGCACATCATCTGCTGCTAAATTCAAACCTGCGATTGCGCTTTGGCTGGCGCTGAGCCAGAGGCGTTTTTACAGTGCTGATCATTATATTATGACCAATCACACACGATTCTGTTGAGCTTATTAATTCAATGGCCAATCAGAGGCGTTCAGATGAGTCGTTGCTGAAACGCGGTGTTTTGTTCAGTGCGCGCGCTCCCTGACTGAATTCTGCTCTCTGGCGAATTTTCTCATCAGAAACAACAAAGTGCAGATGTGAATGTACGAAAGTAAGTAAGAGATTCATTTCACATGGTAAACTGCTTCAGTGATTATAATGGGAGTTTTTGAGAGTGCTTGAACTCTGGCTAGACTGAAGTCAATGATAATGTTCTTCTCTTTCTGTACATTGAAAATGTTATAATTAGTAACTTACAGTGTTTTTATTAAATCCACGTTAAATACAAAGTCAGTCGTATTAAAAATATTATGGCATGACACCCATATCTAGTACTTAAGTAAAAAGATTAGTTTTATGCATAATTAATAGATAGTAGGTATAGTTGTATTGTCATTCAACTGTACACACAGAGTACACATATGAATGAAATTCCATTCCACTGGCTTATAAATACTGTACTAACTAAAACATGTAGCCTCCTACTGTACAGAATCAGTATAAAAATATAAAAAATATAAAAATATAATGAAAGATGCTACAGCATAGGCTACATTAAAAATATAGCACTAAAAGGAATTGACAGCGGCATATACAGTATATATTGATAATGCACATGGTGATTAGTGGCATCTACAAACCCAATTCCAAAAAAGTTGGGACACTGTACAAATTGTGAGTTGATTCGTGCCCAGGGCACCGCTATGTCATAATCCATCCCTGGACCTGTGCATTTAAGAGTGACCTGGCTACTAGCATTGACTCTTTCCAAACTACTTCCTAAATAGATTAGAAAAAAATGTAATAAATAAACGCTGATCAACTATAAAATTAGTTTCAAAATACACAATATAGTTGGGTAGCATGTATATGAACTTTTGTAAATCAACATCAATTTCGACAGGCCCTTTACTGCCTGACATATAAAATCAAATTTTTCAAAATGGAATAATTTACTGAAACTTTAGACAAGATATTTAAAAAGTTGTGCATGTTATTTTTTTTGAGTATCATATTTGCTTCATCAGGATTTTATGGCTTATATACTGTAGTATAATACAGAAGAATATGGAGTTTATATTCAAGGAATAAAAATATAATGCAATGCAATACAGTGATGACTGAGAGATGAACAAATAACCACTCCTCAAAAGCCTGATGATCATATTTGATACACAGTTTAACATACGTTTTCTAACAAAAATTATATAATTATAATCAAATAAACCTAAATTGATTTAGTCCATTAAATATTAATCTTAATTTATATTAAAAAAAAAGTTACTTTATAAACATCAGTAAAAACCACAAGCTCAAGGTGCATACTTTCACAATTATACTAAATGTTCTTTTACACGCTAAAAAACAGACATATCAGACAAAAGGAGGCATGTAGTAGTGTGCCTCTTGAGATCAGGAGAGTGAGGTTTACCTGCTCAGCTCTTACTAGCAGGCCTCCGTTACACATGCATAATAATGATAAAAAATAATTATTTTGAGAATGGTTTTAGATGGAGTATAGCATGTCACACCACAGGACATGTTGACTTCTCAAAGGTCATTTATGTAATCTACACAGCTCCAAATGACGATCAGCATGTCGTTACATAATCCCTCCAATCACAAAGATCTCCAAACAGCTGTTCAGTTTACTCCACCTTTATTTTAACCTAAGTAGCTAGGTTATATCACACTACATCAGGACTGTGCAATCCTATTCCTGGTGGGCCTCCATCCTGCAGAGTTTAGCTCCAGTCTGCTCCAACACATCTGTTTAATTAGGATTGGAGCGGAACTCTGCAGGAAGGCCCTCCAGGAGCAGGACTGGACAGCACTACACCACTGCCTACAAATGAAGATCTCAATTCTGTGTAGTCAGAAAGAGAGAAGTAAAAATAAAATAACCATAGCCTTGTTAAAAAGATGAGTACTTAATAAGGAGAGAGCTTATTAAGAAGAAAAATTCTTATAAGAATGCTTGTTCCCACTTTTAAATTAAGTGGCCTTAACTACTATGTACTTACATTTAAATTAATAATTTGGTACAATGCACTTATTGTGTACATACGTGTTTTTACATTGTACTTATATTTGAAAAATATCTGCATGTAATTACATCTGTAATTAATTTCTGTAATTACGTTTATAATTACACTGTTGACCCATCCCTTACACCTTAACCCACCCTTAAACCTACCCTTACCAACAAACTTGTCCCTAACCTTATTCATATCCCACCTCAATAGCAGCACAAATGTTTTGCAATACAATATGAAGACAATAAGTACATTGTACATATTTTTGATGTAAGTACACAGTAGTTAAGGCCACTTAATATAAAGTGGGACCGAATGCTTAAGGAAATATTAAATTTTTGGAAAACAAAAATATACTTCAATGTCATTTCATTTTCATTGAAGCTTATATTTAAAAACATATTTGTAGTTGCACATTTGTAATGATGATGTTGCTGTTTAGTATATAATTTATTAACTTTAAATGTAATACTGAATAACATAGTACTACAGTAAAAATTTAAATAAAGTACTTGTGACTTAGTGTGTTTTAGTATATTAGTCAGCAAACGTTAATTTTTGGGTGATCTATTCCTTTAAAGCATGACAAAATATTATTAGAACAAAGATTTTAAATGTACTGTAAAGTAAAATGTTTGAGTTGACTTACGTCAAAGCTTACTTATGTGTTAAGAAACATATGAACATGCTTTGTAAATACACTTATTTTAAAGGAGTCATATGATGCTATTTTAAAGATCATTATTTTGTGTATTTGGTGTAACAGAATATGTTGACATGCTTTAATGTTCAAAAAACACATTATTTTTCAAATACTGTACATCATTGTAGGTCCTCTATGCCCCGCCTCTCTCAAACACGTCATTTTCAACAAAGCC